AAGCCACCAAATGGGATCACAGTGCTTAAATTAACTTGGGTAAGATTATGCCCCCCTGCCTCAGAAACGCCGTGATAGATTATCAAATAGGAACTGCCTCCTGCTAAGGAACCTATACTTATTGGATTATGGTCTTCATGGAGATGTGGGGTTCATATGCATTCTACATCCTACACAGGAGCAAATGATTCAAGAACCAGGTTGACAGGTTCATAGTTGGCTTGATGCTCAAACTGGCCTGGAATTTTTTTCTTTATTGATGAAACCTCAGAAATTGTACAAGGCAACACTCAAAGGTATGCACAATTTTCGGGCAGGCAATTCTAACTTGATACACGGAACAAATCAACAAAACAAGATTGAAATCCAAGGATAATTTATACACCCAGAGTTCTGGAGATGAAAGATGATGGTCTATGGTTTCGACTAATCGGTAAGTGAACGTAAACCTCATGAACTTCCTGTTTACAAACCTCACCTCTGTCCCTATCTATGGCATAGCACACGTACACAGTGTCAATTACATTGTCCAGCACATGGACAAAGAAACCCAGTACCAAGATCAGCAGCACCCATGCCAGCAGAGCCACAAAGTACGAATCAACCCCGAGATCGCTTACACCCTTTAAGATAGCACACACCTGTTGATGCAAATCCATTATTAGGAGATATTAAAGAAAGAGGAAAAACAGGGGAATTAAATATTAAAAAAGAAAATGATGCAACTAAAAGAGAACCCTCAACTCTCTTCGCTCAGCTAGGCCACACCAAAAAGTGCAGCAGAGGAGGAGGACTAAAAGGTAAGAATGTCACATGTCATTAATTGCAATAGGAGATCTAAGCAGAGCCTTTACTAACTTGCAAGGATTTCACATGTTCAATACATGGATGGGTTCCTCACATACCACACCTAATGCACTAATCAATGGAATGCTGAATGATTGAGATTTGAAAGACAACATACCGCAATTGCATATATTGCTGAGAGTACAAAAATAATTCCAGCCAGTAGACGAGTGGAGATGGTT